GGGGGGTTGGAGCACACGGGGGCGGGGGGCCGGGCCGCGGTTTGCCCCAAGGCTCCAGGGCAGCTGCTTGCGCACGGCTGATCCCTCACAGGCCCCGGGAGTCGTTTTGTTGAGGTAATGGGAAGCAGAGAGTTGTTCTTCTGCGAAGGGGCTGACGCTTTGCTGGGACTTCATGGTAATTCCCACCGTTTGGGGCTTTCCAGGGGTGGGTACACCAGTGCGGCATCTGGGCAGGTCCTGTGCCTCCTGCCCGAGGTCTGGTAACTGAACCCTGCCCCACAGCACCCAGCAGAGCCCAGCGTGAGGAGAGGCAGAAGTCTGCCCTAGCCCAGAGGGAAGGGGATTTTGGGATGGTGGTGGCAGGAAACTGTAGTTGGGACCTGTGTGCCCGCAGGGATGGCCGGCAGGAGCCAGGACCGCAGCCTGCGGGAGGAGCTGACATGTGTCATCTGCTGCGACCTCTTCAGCGAGCCCGTCATGCTGGACTGCATGCACCACTTCTGCAAGGCCTGCATCCAGCGCTACTGGGAGAGCTGCACCCATGTCCCCTCCTGCCCCCAGTGCCGCCGAGAATTCCCCAGCCAGGCTTTCCGCACCAACTACCTGCTGTCGGGGCTGGTGGAGAAGGTGCGGCGCTGCAGCTCTGCGGAGCACCGGCACAAGATGCAGGTGAGTGGCTTCTGCCCAGCTGGGGGAGAAGGGCATGAGAGCTGCGTGAGCCCTGTGCAGCCAGTGCAAGCCCACCACCCCCTACTCCCACAGTCGGTTCCCTCACTGGGGAGCCCTGTGTGTGCCTCACCTGACCCAAATGCAATCTGTGTCTCTTCCTGATGCATTCCCTCTCTCTGTTTCCTTCCAGCTGTCTGTCTTTTGGACACTTCCTTTCCTTGCATTTGTTTCCCTCACTGCCATGCCCGATTCCATCGCAGCCTGGTTGTTTCTCACATAGGGACCACGCAGGCAGGGGCGAGGGCTGCTTGAGGGGTCAGTCACTGCACAAGTCAGTTCACAGCATGCAGGGTTTAAACCTTCTGCAAACAGTTCCCAGGCTGGGGCTCCCAGTCTTAAAAATAAATTTGTTACATTATGTGCACACATGTATAGTTCTCAAACCTGTGCATCAGGTGCTTTCTTCTCCTTACTGCCTTTATAAGAAATCCTGTTGCAGCCTCCCTCTAATGCTGGCCTCAGGAATTGAGATTGATTCTGAGTCACAGCAGAGTAGTGAAATGGTCTCCTCACCTTCTTTTCCTCGTTCTTGCAGAAGCACCTGGAAGATGCTTTGCAAGCTCGTCAGAAGGAGATGGAGAACTTCTTGCGGAGGAAGCGTGCAACGCAGGAAGATATCTGTGGCCTGACGGTAAAGCCCTGTGATAGCTGCTTTTTGTACAGCCTCTGGGCTAATGTTCATAGAGGATCTGTGTATGACTTCAGCTGAGATTTAGCTCCACTTTCTGTAAAAATCTAGATGAATAACCATGTAGGTATCTGAACAAATTCCCCTGCATGTAGGCCAAAGCCCATCACTACTGAATATTCAGTGGAGGCTTTGGGAAGAGGGGTTAAGCACTTGTTAATGCAGCGTTTGCAAGGTGTGTTGGTGCAGCAGAGCTGAGACGGTATGAGTGGTGAGAGCTGCTGGCTGAGCAGCCTGCTCTGGCCCTGCAGTGGTGCCATTTTGGGATAAGGTTAATTCTTGGAAGCTTTAAAATCCTATTTTGTGTCTGAAGGGGTGGCAGCAAAGCTGAAAGAGCTGGGTCAGCAGCAGGGTTGGTGCTGCAGAGAGCAGTGGCCTTGTCACCAGGACCGTGTTCGGATTCCCTGTGAAGCTCTGAGATGATGTGAGGAGCCCGAGTGCTGTCTCCGGGCTCAAGTGGCACCAGGCTGCCAACTTGTCACTGATCAATGAAGCAAGAACATCCACAGACTGACTGTGCTTCCTTTTTGAGTGATGTAAAAGTATTAAAAGCCAAAGAAGGAGAGGGTAAGGAAAACTGAAGTAGTTCAGAGGTGAGATAAAACTGACGGGAGACTCTTCCAACTGAAGTCTCTGATCCCGCTGCTTGCACTATTTCATACCTCTATCCCGCTGCCAGATTTGGAATAGACTTTGAGGTTAATGAAGAAGTATTATCAAATAAGCACATGTGGTTGATGTCTTGTTGCAGTGGAAGAGCTGACTAAGAGGTGTTTCAGGAGTAAAGGAGCAAATTGCTGATCTGAACGGAGAGGTCATGCACGTTCTCTGTGGTTCTCAGGTGCACAAGCACCTGCTAGAGCAAAGGGAGGGTGGGGTGCTCTGCCAGCTGGTGAAGCTGCAGATGTACTCTGGGGGAGATGGGTTTCCTGCTGGTAGAAAGAGATGTGCATTTCAGGAAGCCCTCATCAAGAAAATAATGAGGGCTAAGGTTGCACTTAGAGATTAAAAGCGTAAAGATTGGGAAAATCAAAAGTCATTGGCTGTCTCTTGTAAACAGGCAGGAAGACAGTGAGAGCACCACAAGGTTGGCTGGCCAACTAAACAAGTAGATAAAAGGGACCTCTGAAAAGAGCTAGATGGGATTTTGTCAGCCTTAACTACAGAGATTAGCTTGTACAGCTCCCCCGTCTCTCCCATAGAAACAGGAGCCCTGAGAGATGAAGGCATCGGAGAAAAAGAGCAAGTTACCAATGTCAGGCAGCTCTGCCCAGGGTCTGGCGTGATATGAAATAAATCCTAACTAACCTGAACAGCTGAGTCTGCAGCTCCAGAAAAGCAAAAGAGCTCCAGTCTTGCACACAAGCAAATTCCTGGTGGTGTGGGAGAGGGCTGTGGGTTCCCACTGTGGCTGTGTGCAAGGATTTCTAGTGAAGGTGACTAAGCCATTGTAGAGCTTTTTTTTTTTTTCCCCTTCCCCTTTGGCTCTGCAGTCTTGAAAGTTGTCCTTGTGTCATATTCTCCAGCCAAAAAGTCGTGGGTACGTCTGGGACTCCCTAATTTCCAGGACTCTGTAAGCAGAGTAATGGGCCCAGCCATCCTGTGCACCTACTTGTGTGTTTTAGCTGTCAGGCTCATCGTCTACCTTTTCCCTCTGCTCAGAAGGTGTCTGGGGAGCTGAACTTCAAGATCCGTGCGGAGTTTGCTCGCCTTCATCAGATCCTGGAGGAAGAAGAGAGAGCTGTGCTGGCAGAGCTGGGCGAAAAGGAAGAGCAGTCACTGGCACGCCTGCACGGGGATGTCCACCAGCTGGAGGAAGGGATGTCAGTGCTGCAGAAGGACATAGAGCGCATAGAGCAAACCCTGAGCAAGGTGGAAGAAGTGTCGTTGCTGGAGGTGAGTGTGCTTGGCTGACCCTGGCAGGAGGCCGAGGGGTGTTTCAGGAACTGAATTTGGGATGGGGAGAGTTCTAAGTGACAGCAACAGACTATACCTGGAAGTCACTCTTGCTGCTCTCCCTCTGGATTATCTACCCATTCTCTTGGAGTCTGGAGGCTTTAGCCACAAGGGATATGGTGATCTTTCCAATGTGGTGGGTCTCAGGAGCCTTCCTCCTTTTCTGTCACCCCTGTGAAATTGCCTTGGCCGCAGTGCCCTGGCAGTTACCCCCAGGGTCGGGGTCATGGCGGGTTGGTTTCCTCTCTCTGCTTCATGACAGCAGGAGACAGGACAGGGAGCTTATTTGTGCAGCTGCGTGAATTACAGACAGTGACTGCTAATTCTCTCTGCTCCTCACTGCAGGTGGAGAGCCTGGATATCAGGTACGTGTCTGGCATGAAAGAAGCCGATTGCCTTTTCAGGAGCTTATCTCTGTCCCTGGCTGGGACCACATGGGGGAGGGATGTTATCTCAAGTTTTAAAAGCATCACAAATTGCTCAGCGAGCTGCTGGTGCTGGTGCTCTGTGGGGGCTGGTCCCCAGCAATGTCGGATGCTCTCCCCGGGGAGCATGCGTGTTGAGATGGCTGGGCTGGAAGAGCAGGTGGAGAAGATGTGCTGGTTTGGGATGAGTGCAAGAGCCATGCATGCTGCAAGGCTAATGCCACAGACTTTGGGTGCTTTGGCTTTTCCCTGCCCTTTCTTAACTTCTTAGAACTCACGGGGCTGCAAAACAGACTCTGAGGTGCAGGTCTGTCTGAGGCTGCGAGTAGCTGAGGGCCAGAACTGCCATATGGGAGCATGTCCCTGTCCCCTCCCTCCCTGGGGTCTGCAGTGGGCTGCAGCCCAGCTCCACAGGCCTGGCCTGTTCACCCATGCAGGACTCCTGAATGGGTGTGCTGGGTGCTGGTCTGCCATGAGTCACCACTCCATGAGTGGTGCTGACGGATCTGTCTCGGTCTGTAACACCTCTGCCCCGAGGTAGCCGCACCGGGGGTAGAGCTGCATCACAGGGAGCAAGCAGCTGCCAGGGAGGTTTGTGTCCCGTCTTTACCAAATCCGTTGTGTGCGGTAGCGTGCTGCAGTCCTGACCACGCTCTTACCACACGCCTCACTAGTGGCACAGCAGAGGGGTTGACTGCCGCTCTCTCTGCCCCAGGCCCTCGGTGCGCATTGAGACCCAGCCTGCCTTCGACCTGCAGCGCTACAGGGACAGCCGCAGCGGCCCCTTGCAGTACATCTTCTGGAGACGGATGCTCCGGTCCATCTGCCCTGGTGAGCGGATTGGTGTGAGGGATGGATGTGCTGGATGGTGGTGGCGCCGGGGATGCTCTGCAGAGGGAATATGCAAGCGGTAAAATGTTGGTTCAATGTCTCCACAGCTCCTGCCCCGCTCACTTTTGACCCTGAGTCAGCCCACCCCAACCTGGTCTTCTCCAGAGACCTGACAGCAGTGACAGAGAGGAATAGAGCCCAGCTCGTCCCCAGCAGCCCCCGGCGCTTCCGTCAGTGTGTCAATGTCCTGGGCTCGCAGACCTTTGACAGCGGCCAGCACTACTGGGAGGTCTGGGTGGGCAGCAAAACCAAGTGGGACCTGGGGGTGGCTGCCGAGGCTGTGGACCGGGCAGCAAAGGTCAAGCTGTGCCCAGAGAACGGCTACTGGACGCTTCGCCTGCGGAACAGGATGGAGTACTGGGCCACTGCCACCCCCTGGGTGCGCTTGACTCCCCACCGCCCCCCCCGGAAAGTGGGCGTCTTCCTTGACTGCCAGGAGGGCACCGTTACCTTCTTCGATGCCGGAGACATGTCCCACCTCTTCACCTTCCACCAGGTTTCTGCGGAGAGATACTGCCCATTCTTCAGCACCTGCTTCAGCGACGGGAGGGACAACATAGAACCCATGCGCCTCTGCCACCTGGCCCTGTGAGAGACGAGGAGGAGTAGGATGCTGTGGGGACACCAGCCTGGCTCCTTGTCTCTGCCAGCTGGCTGCCTGAGGCCGTGCTGGAGGCTAGTTCTGCACACTTGGACCTGGTGGGTGTTGGAGGGGCTGGTTTGGTTTCAGTTTTGGAAGGAAGGAAGGAAGGGGATGAGTCTCTTACCAGCTCCCATCTTCCCGCCCTTCTCTGTGCCACGGGCTGTGGGTGCCACACTGCATTGCTGGAAGTGCCTGGAACCCCCTGGAAGAACAACTTTCTGTGCCTGAGCGTTGCACAGTTCAGTATCTGCTGCCACAGGGCTGCAGTGGAGGTGGCTGTAGGCTGTTTGCACCTCCTCTTCCTCCATGATCCCACCCATAAACCCTGCAGAGGAGGGCAGCAGTCTTGGAGCACCATCAGGTGCCTGTTAACACTCAACTCCGAGTCCCAGCAGTGGGCTTCATCTGCTTGAAAAGCTTCATGGGGAAGGGCTCCTGGCCGGCAGCAGAGGGAGCTCGGTGCATGGCATGGGACCTGCTGTAGCCCGGGGACTGTGGCGCTGCCTCACTTCTATTCAGTCACTATTAAAGCTCATCAGAAAGACCAATCTCTGCTGGACCTGCTCATGGTTTGCATGCTGGGGAGGAGGGGAGGGATCTACTGCAGTGGGGTGTAGCACAACCTGGGGGCACAGAGCAGCCGCCTGCTCCAGCCCAGGATTTCCCTCCCTCTGCAACGCAGGAGGAACAAAAAGAGCCACCGCTCTCCCTCAGCCCTTTCCTTGGAGTGCTCCTGGCACAGCTGGCAGTGGCTCTTGGTCTTTTGCTCCCCCTGTCCTTTGTCAGGCTGCTTGGGAACAAGGTGGGGGGTTGGCAGCCCCGTGGGTTGGGGAGGTTTGTCTGAGCCCAGCCCTGGCCTTGGGCTCTTGGATTTTAAGATTCAGCCTCTTTTGGCCTGGCTGGGTCTTAAGGATTTGTATGTGTGAAAGTCCCATTTCGGGCCAACTTCATGACAGCCCCAGCAGCCTGCGCTGCGGGGAGCAGCTGGTCCCAGCTTGGCTTTTTGCCTGTTGGCCCTGCACAGCCCCACTGGCTCACTGGCCCTGCGGGAGGGTGCCCTGGGGCTCCTAGGGGGGCAAGTCGAGTGGATTTGGCTGCTGCGGTTTGTGCCCAGGGGGTTGCTGGCCACATCCCCACCTCGCTCACGAGTCGGCACAGCCGACTTGAGGCAGGAGGTGCTGGGGTGGGTCTGAGTCTGGCTGGTGGGAGTGATGGGTGGGAGGAAGGATGGCAGTCCCTGGGGCGGGTGGAATTGTCATGTTTATCACCCTGAAGTCCACTCCAGGGTCAAAGCAGAGGCCGGAGCCACATCAGTCCTGCGTAGCTCCTGGTGCTGGCTGGAACCCGCACATTCCTCCTCTGCGGAGGCTCAACTTTCTGCGCTGGTGGAAGGGTTGGGCGTGAGGGCTTTCCAGCTCCTGCAGCTGGGCACAGGGACACTTGTCAAAGCAAGTCCTCCACTGGTCATCCCCCTGCACAGCAGGGACAGGACAGGGGGCCCTGTCCTCCCGCGGTGCCATGAGGGATGATCCCCCTTCCTGTGCACCATCACTGCAGCGTGCCAGGGCTGGGCTCTGCTGCAGCGCCCGCTTTTGGGGTCGCCTACTGCCTGTGCCGTGGCAGAAGACTGTGCTCAACTGGAGGGGAGGATGACCCACACAAGACACAGGCAGACGTGCCCTCCTGCGCAGGAGCGCCGAGCAGCCCAGGGCTCTGTGGACAGGGGGTGGAGGTGGGTGAAGAGGGGACCCAGTTATTGGGAAGCCGTTGCTCTGTGCGGCTTTGCTCAGGGGTTGGGTGTGCTTGGAGGGGGTGTCAGGGTTTCTGCTCCCTCCCAGTCCCTAGTTGGGCTTTAACTGGTCAGTGAGCTCTGCTTCCTCCCTGCTGAGCCCCTGGGCTGGATTCAGCCTTCTCTCCCAGCTCACTGCCCCCCAGCCTCAGCTGAAATAAGAGTGGAGAAGAGCGAGCTGTTGGCTTGGCAATGCCGCTGCGAGCAGGGCTGTCATCCCCCCTGTAAGGACTGGGAGCCTCTGTGGGAAGGTGAGGCTGGTTTGACAGCAGCAAAGCTGCGGCTCGAGGGGGCTGAAACCATCACCTCCGGAATAAATGTGTAGAAACCCCTACATCCTCTCCTTGCAGTGTCTTTCAGTTCTTCTTGGGAGGTTTATCTTCTCCGGTTGATGTTTTTGTGAGACAACTGCTGCAGTTCCTGGTCTGGGGGTGGCAGCTCTGAAAGTCATTACCAGCAAAAGCCTGTTTGGGCTGCGAGCATCTCACAGCGACGTGTGCCAGTGCCATCGCTGCCACCTCCTACACCTTCCCCCTGCCAAAGGCAGAGCTGGAGAGCAGCGAAACCTGCTTGTCCCAAAATCCTGAGCTGAGCAGGCTCCCGAGGAAGCACGTCCTTCCTCCTCCTCCCATCTGCAGTGGCCGCAGCGTGCCGCTCCCAGGCAGAGCCATGTTTTGGGTTATTATGTCCTGGCCTGGCCCTGCTGTCGGGGAAAGGCTCTGGCAGGAAGGCTGGGGCAGGCAGAGCCCCTGCCCCGCACGCAACACCTACGGCGGCTCCTACGCGTGGGGAGAACACTGCTCTGAGCTGCCGTATGTGCAGCGTCAGCCCGGAGAGGAAATACCGCCTGCCGTTACACGCATTTCACTGATAAATTTTACACGCATTACACGCATTTCACAGCAAAAAACGCATTTCACTGATGAAATGCAGAGCAGGAACTGCAGGTGCAGTGTGGATGGATGCAGTGACCGACTGGGCTTGGCCCGGCGTTCGGGCAGGAGGGGACGGGGATGGAGAGTGGGCATCGCAGGGGTGAAGAACCCCTCTCTGCTCCAGCGTCCGGACTCTGTGCCTGCCAGGGCTGGCTCTCGCCATCTGTCCCCAGGACCAGGCTGTATTTTCCTTGCAGGTTACCTTGTCGTTTTGTCCCTGGGTGTCCTCAGAGCCACCCCAGTATGCCTTTCCCATAGTCGTGCCTGGGGCTGGGCAGCGTCTGGCAGCTCCTGCCCTGGTCCTGTGCTGCAACGTGTCTTTATTCTGCGCTTTGGGGAAGCCTTCGCTTCCTCGGGTCCCCCCACGTGCTGGAAGGGGGACAAGATTTTAAAATAAGATCCTTTTGTTTCCCAGGGCGGCAACAATGGAAAGGTCCCATCGGTCCCACAGTCACCCTGTGTTTGTGATGGAAAATTCCCCGTTGTCGCCGGGTGAGCCCTCCCCGGTGTCCCACCGTTAGATGGCAGCATGGACAGGCTGGTCCTGGCCACCATCGCCTGCACCGTGCCACTTAAGGGCTCCCAAATCCCTTGGAGGATGCCAAAATCCCTTGATTTTGAGGGTGCCAGAGAATCCCCAAGTCAGACCCTCTGTTCTTCTTGCACTCAGCCTCTCCAGGCAGCCCTTGGGCCATGCATTTTGTCCAGAATCTCAGCGGTGCAATGTCATTCATCCCTCCATTGCTGTCCTCACCCCATTGCTCATCTCAGGTGCAAGGTCGATGATCCCTGATGCTCACAGTGGTCCCCAGCACGGGTACACTGCCATGGCAGGGAGCCCCATGGCTGCCTCATCTCTGATCGCAGCCCCCAGCACTGGGGAGGGGTCTGATCCTTCAATCTCGGCTCTTCTCACCGTGGCAGTCCCCAACTCTGCCTCATCACCCCATCGTCATGGCAAGTTTTAAAAATCTCCCTCCAGAAAGTTCCAGGGGGTTGAGCACCCTCCTGGGATGGAGGGACACCCATCACTTTCTGTTCCCTCAGAATCAAGGAGGGACGTGGTCCAAGATGAGAGTGCAGAAAAGTGATGCAGCCAATGGTCTCAGGGTTAAAAACTCACTAATTGGGACGGAGGGAGTTGGGTAAAATAAATTCTGTGGCTTGGAGCCCCTCTGACGGCTCTGGGAGAGGGACAGGGTGATTTCTTCCATGGATTTGGCAACAAGAGCAGTTGAGCAGACAAGAAGTTTTCATGCCTTTTCGAAGCCGTGAGCACATGGTTCTCATTCAGGCTCTTTCTTCGCTGTCTGCAAGCGTGCATAATTAATAACCCTCTGGGGTGCAGCGTGGGGCTGTGTTAATTTATCTATTCAGCGCTCCTTGGGTGCGCAGGCTGTGCCCGCCATGCGGCTGCACTCCTGAAGCTCTGCCATCGCCTCCATCCGCAGCACGTTCACAGCCGGTTTGCACCGAGCCGAAGCCGCTGTCGCTGGCAGTGGCAGCAGTGTGGGGGCAGCGCTGCTGGCACGTGTGGAGTGGCACCATCACCAGCACGCTGCCAATGCCACGGTTGTGTGCACGGGTTTCGGTGTGCAACTGGCAGAGAGGGGTGCGTGTGCCACATGTAAAGGTGCTGGGGGGCAACGCGGCTGCCCCACGCAGCTGCCCCAGTGTGCATGGATGGACGGCATGAGTGGGGGCCCCTAGTGCACCCCCAAATGAGTAGGGGTGCGAGTGTGTGCACACGGGTGTGAGAAAGTGCATGTGCATCTTTGTGTCCCCCTGGGGGGTGCAGGAGTGGGGGTTCAGGAGGGTGTGTGCACACAGGTGTGAGGCTTTGGGGGGTGCATGCAGGCATGAAGGTGTGTGTGCAGATGTGGGAGGTGTGTGTAAACGTGAGGGTGTGGCACCCCATTGTCAG